AAAGTCTGTGCCTGACAAATTTCACGACATTATGACAAACAAACAAACAAACAAACAAAAAACTCAAAATCACAGAAGAAATGGCGGTGAAACATATTGAATAGACCCACATTTTTTTGCATTTTTTCTTTCAATTTTGCTTCTTTTTTTCCCCCTTTTTTGTCTTGCCATATTAAATCAATCAGTCAATCAATCAACCAACCAATCAACCAATCAACCAATCACTCAATCAATGGTACTTAAGCTGGGTAGAACTATATGGGGTAGGCGGCGCTACGTCGACTAGGAGGTCCCTTGGTAGAACTAAGTGGGCTCCATCAAAAGTCAAAACCCCAATTCACTTGATTGCTACCGCGGCCCAAAAATTGCGGAACGCAGGGGGGTGGGACAGAGGCGAAGGATGGGTCATCAAACAAATGATCCGCCAACGGGCCTAGACCGGTCGGTACAACCAAGTTCACCCTGGAATGACAGGTATAGAATAAAATAATTCTGAAATGAGTGTATGCAGTCAGTTTGAAGATGATATCTTAAAGTCATCACCCCACCTACCGATACTTCTAAGGCTATACAGGGGACCCCTGCAATCATAGCTACCCCACAATGAAGGGGTTGCATGTTGCCCCTTACCAGGGTTCGGACGCCGATTTGGGCCCCAGCTACCACAGAGACCAAGCATTTTGCCATTTTCATCTCCCCTTGCCCACAATGAGTACTAGCATGTGGGAAGTTTGAAGGTAATTCTTCAAGGGGATAGCCTTGAGAAACTGAGGGAAATCCTTTGGAACATCTGTCAAAATTGGAATGATACAACGAAGATTAGCATGGACCCTTGGAATGATAGAATGAAGATTAGCATAGCCCTTATGCATGGATGAAATGCAGAAATAGACTAATGGTCGATTTTTTAAAGAGCGAAAATAAAAGGTGAAAGAACACCAATTGGTCGATGAGAACAAAGGAAAGGATAATAGAGCACACAGATCAAATAAGGAGAGCTTGTACATAAGACACAAATCGAGTGTGAAGTGGAAAAGCGAGGAGAACTGTGGAAAACAGTTGATATGCAAATGTGATTAGTCATATAAATCCTCTATACATGGCCGCAGTAGCGTTTTCAAATTGACTTATGTGAGGGTTCATTTGAATAGCGAGTGACGATGTCCGTTCGCCTGTGATACATTTGCATCTTGCAGGCCTCTTGATGAACCTGGGCATTGATGTTCATCAAAAGTTCAACAATGGTCCATTATTTTCCACCCCTTCTTTTGTGACTTGTCTTCCTCTTCTTCTTTTTGTTGTTCTATTTGTGAGAGTACAAGAAAGTAAATAGCGTAGGGCCTACACTCGGCAAAACTAGAGCGCAGTGAAATTCATGCTCCGCAAAAAAAGGCTCGGAGGTACTACTCGTTTAAGACAGTATCCCATCTTGACTATCTGGAAGCGGAGGAGCCAGCAGACGATTGTGAAACGGCATATGCACGGACAGGAGGAACGGGACCCATACCACAGTCTACTGGGAACAGGCATTCACGGCAGCTACGAAGATAGGCAAGGTGGCCACGGGCATTAACGAACCGTTCTCAGCAAATGGTCCCATGCCAAGGCAAGGTGGCCACATTCGAGCGGCATAAGCTATTGTTCCATGGGTGGCCAAACCCACCCGGGGTGGAGTTAGCAGAAGGTCAAGAAGCACAGGGTTTAAGGTTTAGGGTTTAGGGTTTAGCTGACGGTTAAGAAGGACAGGGTTTAGGGTTTAGGGTTTAGTATTCAGTGTAGGGTTTAGGGTTTAGGACAACAACACAGGCTTCCAACACAGGGTTCTCAGGAAAGGTAATGAAATTGACCACTTGGCAGTAGTGGTATGCGACGCTGCACCCGATTTCCAGCCAGGACATTGATAGATTTTTCAGTCCAGTTTCTATTTTTCTTCGAAGGGTTGCAGACTCTGGGACACAGGACCCAGTTTTGTCCAGCCTAACCTGGGTAATGACCCAAGCATTTTCAGGGTTGAGAAGTTGAGGGATTCCTGGCGTCTGGTTTCAATATTCAAAGCCGCATTTCTTGCAAAAAAAAAACAACAGAAACTCTCTCTCTCTCTCTCTCTCTCTCTCTCTCTCTTCCCCTGGACCAGCATCGGGTAGCAGCCCCTCAGTATAGTGCAGAAATGCGGAGGGCCAACAGCATCTGGCCAGCGGCGAACTCTCTCTCTCTCTCTCTCTCTCTCTCTCTCTCTCTCTCTCTCTCTCTCTCTCTCTATCTATCTATCTGTGGCTTGCTCTCTCTCCCTCCCCATCCCCCCCTTTCTCTCTCTTCCTCTATGTGGAAGGTTCTCCCACACCTTCTCCCCCTGTTCCCCCTTCTCAAGGTAATATCCTCCTACTGGTCGGCTACGGTAAACCTTCACATCTACTTTTACCACTGGCCTGCCCCGCATATGGTTTCGATGGGTGGACATTTTCATGCAAGTGTTTGTAAATGGCCTCCACCAGTAAATAAAAAACAATTCTTTGGGGCGCCCCCGAACGAAACATTGTGCTGTTTGGCAGCGCTGTCACGGAGAGCAAACCACGCTTAGTACCGCTGCAGCAAAACGTTGTCCTCACCTCGCACAGAATGCGCCATTTTATACACTCACCTTATCACATGAAAAGTCAGCCACCTACCGCGCTGTAACGCACTAGCCTGGAGTATTCAGTCTAGGATACTCCCTCGAAGGTTGTGCGCTCGATCATGCAGCTCTAAAAAACATGGCGCCTGTGGATTGTGATTATTGAGGCGAAGGACGGCGAGCACGACTCTGATTGCGATTGATTGTTGCTGGAACAGCATGAGCATGACAATTATGCACTTCTGTGATCGTGACACTTGTTGACAAGATGCTGCTGATCGATATCAGTGGGTCAGCTCTCCTACAATTCTAGCCCAAGGGTCAGTTGTCCTACAATTCTATCCCACGGATGTGCATGTCGGAGGCCTTCCTTTACCTCCTATGCCAACTTTGGCTGATTTAAAGGGCTGGCACGTACTTATGTTTGGTGGAATTGTATGAAACGCTCAATGTAAAAATTTTGCCTTCTGCATGGTGCGATTTCATCTATTACTTGCGATTTTACATGTCTGGTATAGTGGATGCAAACACAGGGTAGGAATTTTCCCCAAGTGATGCCTTGAGTGAATTACCACATTTAATTTAATGAAAACCGTTTCGGGAATTGGATTTAAAGATTCGGTGCACAGCAAGGCTGGATGCGCTGTTGCTGGTTGTCAGTAGCTGTCTGTGCTCTGTTTTCTCGTTGTTTTGTTTTATTGTCATTTGGGGCGGAGTCCCGGCCATCGTTTTTTTTCCCCATTTTCTGTAACCGTGTGGGCATAGGGCTGCGGTGGTGGTGGTTTTCCTTCTGTGCGGTGGTGCCAATTTGCTTTTCCTTTTCCGTATTCTAGCAGCAGCGCAGAGCCTTTTTCTGTCCCCTGCTGGGCCTTTCCATGTCAATTTATTCCGTTCTTCCCCATCCGGGCAATGGCACCCCGTTTTATCTCACATTTCTCTGCATCGTTCTCCTGATCTCTTTCTTCTTCTCCATTATCCTCGCCCCATTAATCTCAACATTCTCTGCATCCAGACAATCCCAAGACAGTGCCCACTCACCAACAATCCCAAGACAGTGCCCACTCACCAACTGCACACTCGAGTGAAATCATATCCAACAGACCAATCGATGTACAACTTGAGACTGGAGCATGAAGTTGTCATTCGATACTTACCTCCACCAGCCAATCAATGAGAATCCCCCTCATGTTCGGATTGATGTCTTGCTGCAGAGTTTCCATAAAGTCGGCTCTCACCCACCGTTTGGACTGCCATGCGATAATCACATAAACAACGAGCGTAGGATGAGTTTGAAAGTTGATGTCAGAATGAAGCCAGAACCGAGGCATACAGATTTCTTCAAGAGGCACACTATAGTTATAGCCTTACTGAGGCTACACACAGAACAGATATCAATGTACAGCGAGGAGGTTGTGGTTGGAGAAGTCTGAACAACGTAGTTTCAAGGGGTTAATGAGAAAAAAAGTCGGATTCTCGTTCACAAAGAGTGAGTAATAACCTCTAGAGGACTAGAGAGACAAAGAAAACTCATTAATGTGACGATCCACACTCATACGTCTGGCAGTGACAATAACATAGAATGGTTCACAATGGTCCAAGTCATTCCAACATTGAACGGTTCACAATGGTCCAAGTCATTCCCCTTGTCCTGATAGCATGGTCCACAATGGAAACAGGTTCACAGCCCGGTCTTCAAAACCTAGGTTAATGAAGTTTCAAACAATCCCACCCGTGATTCGGTGAGTCGCTAGAAAACCACAGAACTGCGAAGATGCAAAATGACAGGGAGGGGCCACTGTCAAAAGGTTTAGGTCGCCTGGCCCGTGGGTCACATTCCAAAACGATCAGGTCCGGCAGTCCGCAGTGGAACCCCTGTCACACAGCCCGGGCTGGGTAGGTTTCATCCGATTCCTTGAACTTCTGGTGGGCAGTCCCTACTGCCCCAACGAATCTCTGGCCATTGCATATAAGCCAAGGCCAGGTAGGTCAAGGGACATTCAGGTGGCAGGTCGCCGAGAGGCTACTACAGCACTAGGTTGACACACATTAGCGGTAGGAAAGGGAGGGCTAGGTGGTCGTGGGCACATAAGAGGTAGGCCCTGAAAGGGAAGAAGGGCTGTATAGCTGGTTTGGCACCCTGTCGCGTAGGGATGTCCGTCCAACAGATGTGGTCCTTGGGATGGTGAGGAAGGCAGTAAGTAGGAGAAGTTGGCACAATTGCCTGGTGGTTGGCAGATAGCCATAATCAGCAGCAGTGGATAGAGCTCAGCAGTATGGTATAGGACGAATTTTGCACGAGTCGGGAGCTGCTACTCCATTGTTCTATTGGTTCGATGCAAACAAGGAGAGGGCTTTCATGAAGTGTGCGTTCCTATCTTAGCGTGATCTCGTCCTTTTCACTTCTGCTATCGGTTTGGTCTGATGAATGTTGAAGTTTGTGTTGTTCATGAATTGAGTTTCCACAGGCAGGTTCCTTGCGTAAGATGACACTGAGGAGAAGGAAGAGGACAACGACTAGGACGATGACGACGACAAGGACAATGAGGACGACAAAGACACAGGAAGGCACAGAAGAGAACGAACAGAGAGAAAGGAGCGGATGAGAGACAGAGGTGAACAGAGGATGATGCTGAGGAGAAGAAGAGAAGAGAGGAAGGAGAAGAGGAAGAAGAATACCCCTGTCAAGCACCATTCTAAGCTTATTCCTTTCTTCACCCGGGGTTGGCATCTCTTTCTTTCACAATCCCACCCGACATATCTGGAGCAGAAACGCCATTTGAACTTCTTTTCCAAACTCGCCCAACATCTCTGGAGTAAATGGTGCAATGACTTCAGCACAGGGAAGGAGCACTGGGTGGAAGGTGTTCAAAAACACCAAAAGGGGAAGCCCAGGAAGGGAAATACCCATTCGAGAAGGTACAGCGGGAAATGCACAAGTCAGAGAGTTCACGGGGAAAATTGGACAGGGGAAGGGATGCATCAGAACAATGTAGGCCAGCAATCGGAATAACACAAGGCAGTTGAATTAGGAGGAAAAACCGTCAAAATAAGATACGAGAGTTGAAACGAGGTCCCAGTTCTGCATAACAAGTATTCAGAAAATTGCGAGGTCAAATCGGCCTTGGAAAACCAAGGCAGAAAGGGAGACCTATCGAATGAGAACAATGAGGGAGGATCATAGCATGCCTTATGGGACAGACAGGGAGAGACATTTGCAGGAGAGGAAATAATTGGACACAGATAGCCAGTGGGAGTGTGAGATGGGGAATGAAAGATAGATCATCAACAGAACGGGGGTAGATTGAGAGAATGCGGGAGTGCGGATTATGGAAAAGATGCCTTATTCAGCATGCTCGTCACAGAAAGCTGAGTGTGGTATTGGGTCTCATTCGCCCGTCCAGTGTTCCAATTTGCCCTCCACACCGTGACATCCATAGCACAGCTTTCCAACTTAAACCACCAGTTCACGTCAACGTCCTGTTCATCCAATTCCGTCGGCAAGTACCCGGCCTAAAAACATTGAGCTGCCAGCCCACCAGCTGCAATGGGAGGGAGGCCGCAACTGCAGCCAGAGCAAGAAAAACAAAGTACGGACTTGCAAAAGAGAAGAAGTAATGAAACAAAACGAAAAATAAAAAGAGCTGAAAAGAAACGAACTAGCACTTGGTAGCTACTTGGCAGATGCAAGAGAAGTGTGACGAAACAAGAAAAAAACGACAGCACGAGAACACGCAACTCACTAACACTTCTTCTACTAAGCTCTGGATGTGATTGCAGTCACATCGATCTGTAACCTTCCTCCAATTCTGGTGAGAGACGGGAGGTGAGGACAGGAAATCATCTGCTTTTTTCCCCTATTGTCTTTTCCTTTGTTTTTCAGAAACAAAAAGGCCTTAAATGTGGCCACGACCTCCAGACACGTACACTTGCAATGAAGTTGCAGTTTCTCTGCAGGCTGTAACATCAATTGGGTCATTTTTGTAATTTTTCTACGTTTTGGTTCCTAACCGGTAACTGAGACAGCCCTAGACCAACAGGGACATTTCTGGAAATTCCAAAACTACCCCTGAATGCTACTACTGGTCTGAAACCTCGTCCTCTTTGGCTACTGCCTGGGACTGGTAGCTCCATTACTCGGAAAAACACTTCCCGTGATTGTTAGCTGTGCCCTAGGTCGTAGGAGTCCGGTTCAGTAGGCTGTTGTAGAACTATAAATAGAATCACTTCATAAAGGTAGAGGTCATTTACCTCTTGGTCTGCAGTTGGTGAGAGACTGCTTGGAGACTGCTATTGACTCTGCCAGGCTGCCAGAGCAGCGCCATAGCTGGAGGCGACTGCTACCGTCTTCACCCAAATAGAATGCCCGGTCATTATAGATGTATGTATTTGTTGCACTTTTCAGTGCAGCTGGGGCGATAAAAATTCGGGTGAAGCTCGTACGGTTCCGGAGTTGAGCTGAAGCAGGTACTTCATGCGCTGAGCCCGGGTTGTTCCTTCTTCATCGAGGAGCCGGTGCTGCCCCCTACAAGTGGCTAATGGGCTGGCACTGATGTATCTGAGTGGATCCTCAGAGGCCCTGGGTCAGATCAGGTTACAGGAAGGTGGCACTGGTGGTCTGCTGCGTGCTGGTTTCAGGGATGTGCAGTGTTCGTTTCAGTTGGTTGAGATGCTTAGATTCTTTGTGCAGCTGATTGAACTGGAGAGAGGAGACGCACTGTGAATTGGGTTTCTTTGGATTCTAGTCGAGTATTGAGCTTCCGCTGCGGATATTTCAGACCCGTTTGGTGTTGATTTCCTCTCCAAGACTTCTTCGCCATCTCACACCTGTATGGGAAAATATGTTGATGCTCTGTTGAATGGAATTTCAATCAGTCACGTCACACACTAGTGGCAACGAAGGACAAGGCCTTGAGATATCATCATGGAGCTGACCATTACTTTGGGCGCACTCACTCTCAAACATCTTTTATGAAGCTGTGGACATGTTTGCAGTCAGATGCATTCTGGAAACTGTGCGTGTGAGTGTGCACTCCTTCCATCTTGATCCCCGCTCACCTCATGAATGTACCAACTGAGCTACCACGTATTTATTCGAATATCAGCCCATACAATGCTTTTTTTTTCCCTTTTTCTTCGGCATTTTGTTCCATCTGCTGGCAGCAGGGCCAGCAGTTTTCGAAAGGCTGGTACCCACTCACAATCAGGTTCAGCAAAATGAATTTGTTTGGTTCGTCAAACGAGGTCTGGGTGAACTGGTGGTTAAAGTAAGAAAAACCCTCTTCGCCGACCTCATAAGATATCCAGTCACAAAGGGCTGAAACCGATAGAGACACCAACAATTTCTCAACCAATGTCCTTCCCACAGACCGTAAATCCTCCTCCCATTCCTCACAATCCTCTCCCCATCTCAACAAAAGCCCTGCCAACCGCTTCAACATACACTGAACCCTAACCCCCCTCTTCTGCTTAAATCTACTGCTCAGCTTTCTCTTCTCTTCCGTCCTCTTCCACTTCATAATCATTGTCATTGCCAATATGATGACTGCATGTGTAATTGAGAGACACTGCTTTTTCGTCAAAACAGATCCGCCACCTCCACTTCATCACACTCCTATCCAATCTCATGTCCCATATCAACCAAGATTCCCCATTGTTCTACGAAAAGTTGCCATCAATGTGATTGATTTTGGACATCCTGTAGTCATTTTTGTAACCTCTGACCGTCCTTTCCTCTTTCCCTCCATCAATCTCAACCACACTCCCTTTCCTTTTACTTTCTACTTCTTTTCTCCCACTCCTTAAGCTCCTCGTCGTTGGCCTTCCCTTCCTCTTTCTCATTTTCGGCTTGTCCTCCTTCCCCACAAGACAATTGGCATCAATTCACGTAATGACACGCAGGGAGAATTTCCAAGGATGTCACTCTCCTCCCCTTCACTGGTTTATCAATTCCCCCCTATCATTGGCATCAATTCACGTCATGACACCATGCAGAGCTTTAGCGAACATGCAGAAGTACACTGCAACTGCTCGCCACCTCTTCATCCTTAGCTTCCAGTCCTATGCATTGAAGTTCTATCAACTGACAAAAAGCAGACATCACGCAATACCACCCACCCACCCACCCCCCACTTCCACCCCAAACAGACAAGCTACTTAACCACCTCCTTTTGAACATTCCTGGTGGAGAATGTAAAATTTGCTTCCATTTAAAACTCTGCTCTACTACGTTGAACCGCCCTTTCCCGTACACTGCACAATGTGACATAATCGTCCGGCAGCCCCTAGCAAACATAACCAAAAAATGACACCATGACATCCGTCAAAAATGAGGAGTCTTAAGGAAATTAGTGAAACTACCTCTCCCTTGAGGGCAAAGAAACAAAAGCAGTAATGCATTTCATGCTCATCGTGCTGCTTACCTCAGCTACTCGAAGGAAGTGGTAGATATCATTGACGTACGTAGCACACATCTGAGGATCATTGGCGACTGATGCATCAATATCACTGTACTTCTGCTCTACCCAGCCCACTCTCTCCCGATATTCATGCTCCTCGTCATCAACTCCTGGCAAAACATGGGAATAGGAAACATGGCAAGCCATTGTCAGAATCCGAGTGCCAGCAACAGCTGCACCGATCTCCTCCACATTAGTTGATTCTGGAAAGAACAGGATGGAATCACCGCCAACAAAGCGTCAGCCAGAGGAGAGTTCAGGAGTCAATTGATGGGACTGCAACAATCTAGTGACTTTACACTGCTTTTTTTCGGAAACGACCGGCCCAGCCCCATATATTCTGAGGGACATCAGTCCGGTTGCTCAGCGCCGGCAAGCATGACTCGGTTTGCATTGCTTTTCTTTTTTCTTTTTTTCTTTTTTTTCTTTTTTCCTTTTTTTCTTAAAAAAGTCGCCACAGCACAAGTTCACACTTGGACACACAAGGCTACACACCCGAGATGAACACAAGTGGAAATTGTTTACAAATTGAAAATTTTATACATCAAAAGCCTCCAGCACGTAAACAAGAAGGCAACTCTGATTCTCTCTCTCATGTCCTGTTTACCCTCACCCATTTATTCTGAGGGGCATCAGTCCGGTTGCTTACCACCGGCAAGACTCAGTTTGCACTGCTTTTAACCACAGCACAAGTTCACACTTAGACACACAAGTCTACACACCCGAGATGAGCACCCGTGGAAGTTGTTTACATATGCCCGTCACTCACACAAGAAGGCAACTCTGATTCTCTCATGTCCTATCCACGCTCACCCCTCTCTGAATGTCTTCCTCCCCCCTTCTCTCACTTTTTCTCACTCACTCGGGGCTCTACACCCATGGTGCCTGCCTCTGCAGACTACACTACCGCACTTCTTCCAAGCCTACTCGATTCCCCCTTCTCCTTTTCCTTTTCCTTTCTCATATACGTGGATTGCCGTCGCAAAGACTCCATAGTTGGATGTGCTGCCCATAATCTGCTCACACCACTGAGATTCTCAGAATACCTAGAATTTTGAACATACCTGCTTCCTTTGCCTTCCGCTTGACGCTTTTCCTTCGTTCTCTGCTCTGCGTGCTCTCCTCCGTTCTTGCCTCTTCTCTGCCTTCACTCCTACTTCCATCCTCGATGCCTGGCATGACAGAAGGACAAAATACAACAACGTCAATTTGAGCCAAATTGACAATACTAAAGACATCAAACCCGGATAACGCTGTGGAGGTACACCCTTGATTTAATTATGCACACTCTCTACAGCACATCATAAACAAGGTGGACCTGTGTTACACAAAGGACACATCACTCTGCACGGGCTCACATGAGTGAAGAACGCCGTGAGGAATCATTCTTTGCAATCCACACTAGCTGGAATAACAAAACAAACAAGACATCCATTCCGATAGAAAGGAATCATTACCCACATAAAAGACATTGCAGAAGTCATGAAAAGTTCACATCACGATCTCTCCTCCCGCTTGCACACAATAACGATGTCACATCCTCGGTGTCACAGACAGAAAATAGACAGCTGATATTCTGGGTTTCCTTTCCACCTCCATCCTCAATATGTGACATGAGAGCACACAACGAATTAACATCTCATTGCATCAACAATGAACTAACATCCCATTGAATCGACAGCCAAAGCGAACTTACGGAAGAATAAATCCCCACCATCTTAAACCGCCAGTACCTTTCCCTGCCTTTTTCTTTACCTCCGAGTATGCCGGAACATGCCCCCACAGGGCCGGCACAGCTTCGGGCAGGAGAAGCAAAACTCCCCCCCCACCCAAAAAAAAGCAAATAAGATGTGAGGAACAAGCCCTCAAGGGGCCCTATCAGACATCACATTGTTCTGGGCTAAGGCCCCCAGCAAGCCAAGTGCCCGCCCTAAGTGAAGGCGGGCCTGAATATTTGCCAAAGGCAAAATTCGACTTTTCCATACATGGGTATTCAGGATCTCGCAGCACGCCAGTTGGTTGGGTAGACTCACATTGCTGCGTCATACAGTTGGCCCAGGCCTTGACAGTTGCGCCTGGGCACACATACACAAAGCAGGGCCGATAAATTGGGAAGCAGGCCATCGGCCTTTACAAAAGCAGTAGTGCCGACGCACCTGCCTGAGAGCCCTGCACAGATGCAGCAAACAGCCCAAGCCCGGAGACTCAGGCCGTGCCTAACTGCGAAGGGGCCCAGGCCCTTAACTGTAGTCTCAGGCCTGGGCGCAGGGTCTGGGACCCAACTGGAAGCTACTGGAAGCTTCCAGCCAGGCCACACACAGCACCCAGGAGGCTGCCACTTCCATTAAAGGAGTGAGGCAGCCCAGGCCAGGCATTCTGACCAGTGCTGGCAATGCGGAGGTGCTGCTGCGCTCTCGCTTGATGCTGCGCTGCTGCCAAAGCCGCTGACGGGGCGCGTAGAGGTGAGGAGGGGCGCTGCAGGGCAGCGGAGCACAGGCGGCCATAGCCGAGCTGCTGGGCGCCAGGGGGTACAGAGGGTGATCGGGTGGTCTTCAGGGAAGGAGGTGCTGTGTGGGATAATCAAGGCATGATTGAGGGTGACGAGATACGTACCCGGTGCATGAAGAAAGGCCGGCTATGGAGTTGACAGTCATGTACATTGGTCTTCGAGAGACGAAGTGAGCCTGTTGCGTGAACCAGCTGTAGGTAGGATAGTCGGGCAGAGTAGGTTGGGCGCTGGGTGCCAGACAGAGAGGAGCAACTTTGGATACTGTGTTGGTGTGGCCTACGGGCTTGGACATTGGCTGATTATTTCATTGTATTTCTTATATGGATGGTTTCTCGGTGAATTTCGTACTCTCTGCTTGGATACAACTACCTGGACATCTGCGTGATTTCGCAACTTGGTTTTCTGTATATCGTTCACACTCATATTCCTTGCAAAGATTTCAGCACGTAGGAAATATATCACGATTGCAGCCACCACCAGCACTCTTCAATGGAACGAGACATACATCACCCTGACTGTATATGGCTCGACAGACAACTTCTATACATTCACGTCCCTGCAACCTACTATGGCGGTCTTCAAAAGAAAGTGGACGAGGGAACACTACCGCCCCCCTCCTCCCATGCAAGATTCTGCCTGTATCGGGACTGCTATTGTGGGCTCGTACATTCAGAGAGCTACAACGATTTGACTGTATCAAGAGCGGGCGCCCAGTCCAGATGCATTTTTTGTATTGTAGAAAAACACAACTGTGGCTGACATCGGGTCTCGCACTCTTTCCCCAGATCATGCTATACTGACGAATAAGTCCACACAAATGCATGGTACTCGGGCGAAGATCATCAATCCTACAGTCTTCACCCAAACAGAACGCCCAGTCATTACCACTGTATTTAGACTGAACCTTTTCCCAAATACATCTCTTCTATATTCAGCTGAAGACAGTACGCCAAGTAGAAACCTCCCAGATCTTCCCGAGGACTGATGCCTATGCTGCATTTCCTTCATAGCATCCTCCGCTTACGGAATGATGCCTATGCCCTTCCAACTTCTTACTATCAAGATTCTCGGGGTGAAGTAATCTTACTCGGCCTCAAAATTATTCCTCGCATCCTCCGCTAACCCACTGCTTTGGCATCGTGATAGACCCTTCACCGTAGTAGATTTGGAATGAGAGAGTGCCCCTTGCACCAGACGATATAATCTATTTACCTTTTTTCATGACAATTGATTCCAGGCCATCTTGAATGTCTAGAGCAGAGATGGAAACGATGGCAACTCCACAAACAAGGTTGGATAACATCGACCAATGCTACGCCGTTCTTCGGTCAGACTCACATGCTCGCGGTGTTGGATAGAAAATGCATGCAACCATCAGTAGCACCATAAATCCAAATCCACAATAGACAGCAGTCAAAATTCAAGTTGCCTGCAAGATTGCTCGCACAGCTTCTCAACACCTTCCCAATACAACATCATAGGAACCTAACCCACCTCTCCCAGATCAACCTTCTCACTTCTGCCCAGAACACTGTCACCTCTGCCACTCCCCCCCGGTCAGCAACTCTCCGCCCAACCCCCCTGACACCCATCCACTCCTCCATGAGTCCGCACTGCATCCATGCCGGTTTTGCCCCACTTCCGAAGGACATCCTAACCAGTACACAGGACGGCAGCTAATGTTCCTGCAGACCTCTGCCAAATGGCCATTCCAGAAGTCAGGCTAGGCTTGGGGGCAACTATAAAGACGCCAGGTGTCTGCACCTCTTCCGAGCCTTTCGCAATACCAATATACTTGCTTGTGGAGTGTTGAAGCACCCTAACTCCTTCCACATACTCCTCGACAACCCCTTTCACACTGCCCTCAGTTGCACCCCCCCGCCTCCAGGCAGACGGGAAGCATTCGAGGGCATCCGCTAACCTACCACCGACACATTCGTGACTCAGCACCCTACCTCTTCCTATTCTTCTTCACCTCCACTTCGTCCCCTGCACCTATTTCTCCCATTTGCCTTATTCCTTAGTCTCATCAACCTCCAATCCTTCACCTTCCCTTTCCTCCACTACACTTGCACTCTTCTTCCTGCTCCTCATCCTCTTACTCCGTTACCTCTTCCTCTCCACTTCCTCCTGTTCATCTGCTTTCTTTTTTCTTTTTTGTCCGGTGCTCACAATATTTTTTTGCCTCCTTAGCGGATCCCCTGCACACCATCTATGGGAGCATTGTTTGGCCCACCTCTATGGGAGCAGTAGTTGCAGGCACTAGCGCTAGGGAAGGACAACCCCATCCCAGCCCTAGTTGAAGCAGTTCGGTCTCCAAGCGAGCGTAGTCGTCCTACACTATCCCCACCCGGGTAAGTCAGATAGTGAGTGTTCCAACAGAGCTACCATAGGCAGAGTCAACTGGCTCTACCCTGGCAAAGGTCTGCTTTCTCATCGTGATTTCGCAACGAACATAAAAAAATGAGAACTCCCATTTACGCCGGGTTCACCAAAAAAGGAAAGAAAGATGGAAACGAAAAAGGAAGGATAAAAAGAAAAGAGAAGGGGGAAAAAAGAAGGATAGAAGAAGAAAGGAAAGAAAAGAACTCCCATGTGCAACGCCTCGCAAAACATCCTGAGCATGCAGGATCCTTTTGCAGGTCGGAGATATCTGCAGGTTCCCAGCAGGCACTACAAGGCTACGTTGTTCTCCCTCTAATATCGACCACAAATGATCAAGATATCTGCAGGTTCCCAGCAGGCAACCTCTTCCAGACTCCCGTTCCTCTCTTGTTTCTGCTCAAGATATCTCACTGTTTCATTGGAGAACACTCCTGCGTACAGTCTAAGAACCAACCCTGTTTCTCCCTCATCAATCTGCCCTGTTTCTCTCTCATCAATCTGCCCTGTTTCTCTCTCATCCTCTGTAGTTCTCCCAAGACTATGAAAGCAAGTCGAACCTCTCATTCTTCTGATTATAGTATGATGATGCCAGCATTTCTCTGCAGTTCTGGCAAGACTATGAAATCAAATCTCTCACTCTTCTCATTTTCTACGTCAGCTAGTTCTTTCGTGACAGATTCAACCTGTGGATCTTTCCTGCTAAACGGAAGTACAACGCATTTGGAATATGACAGTTTTCCGGTCCACTTCATGGGTATCACGCTAGGCGTTCTTCACTCTACCTCCAGATGATGTTGTTCGTTGCATGCAGGTGTGAAATCTCCTCGTCGTTTCCAATCTATCATTTCATTTACGAAACCTTGCTAAACCCCTACAGCCACCCCTCTTTCTTTTCTTCCCGTTCCTTCTATTAACAAACAATGACATATAAACTTGCCCCTTGCTAAACCCCTACAGCCACCGCTAAATACAAGAGCTGTTTGTCCCAGGTCCATATAAAAAAGGGCGTGGGGAGAGATTTGAACGCTCAGAAAAAACTAGGAGTGCAGGCCAACCTGGTTGACTTATCAACCACCAGCTCAGCGTTGGAGAAAGAAATGCCGAACGAGGCAGGGGGAGAGGTGAAAGAACGTTAGAGAGATATGAAAAGAGAGATTGCAAAGGGGATACTCGTTTGCCAGACCATTTTGATTCGATGAAAAAACGACCTGGTCATACACAGAGAGCGGTTTAAAAGAAGCACGTTCATCCATGCAAGAGGGACGGGTGGATCCAGAGACAGGGAGAAGGCAACAGACAGCACGGTCATCCAGCGGGGCCGGACCCAGCCATCTGGAGACGTGAAAGTGACATGAGACTACGGCATGACACGGTGCATAGGATAGAGTAGATGATAGAAAATGTGGTCGTTAGCGCTGGTACATAAAGACCAGGGAGAGCAGAGAACTACTATTGTTTGTCGAAAACTGGCTGTTGGAGGCGAGACATGGGGCTAAATCCCTTGTCATGGTGCATACGGTCTGAGTTTGTCCAGAAAGTAGGTACCTTGTACCTCTACCACCGAAATTGTGGATGCGACACGTGGCACCTGATGAGATTCTTACCATTTGGTTTGATCAGTCAGGGAGACGCTTTTCAACGATGGACCTTGCACTCCGTGTTCTGCCGGAGAGTAGGGTCTTCCCCTGAGTCGAATGGGCAGTTATTATCACTGCTTCCGGACTTAAAGTCGCCCCAAATACAGCCGTAGAGTGTAGACACTTCACGGAACTCAAAGAGGATATCTTTTGTTCTTCGCAAGTCGGTGTGGAAGATCGCAGCCGTACAGTGTAGACACTCCACGGAGCCTACAGTGTGAATTATCCTCGTATCGTCCTAACTGGAAAACATGGCATCTAATTCCTTCCACTTCGTCAATTGCACAGTACGCTCATTCTGCCTGTCGACTTCATGGCATTTCTTCCGCCCATGGTCAGTTGCACAATGACTTCTTCCACCAGTGGACAACTACACATACGGGCTACCAATCCATCTTTATCTCTCACTCGCGAATGAGAGACTGGAGAGCACCATGAACATGGACGTCTGCACTCCCTTTGACAAGGATTACGACAACTTAGGATTCTCTCTTTTCCTGCTGATTCATCCACCAGCGTCTCAGCTGATACAACTTACCACCACAGGACAGCGATTCCCGTCTACAGTACAAGCGAGAGGCACTGAATGATATACAAATCGCACCCTTTGACAAGGTCAGATTGGTCTCTGAGCCACTGAATGATATACAAATCGCACCCTTTGACAATGTCAGATTGCCTCGTCAGAGACCAATATACGAATCGCCAATACAAGAATCGCCCAACGTGCTGCAGCCAGGCTCACTCCCTCCTCTCCAGGCTAACACTAATCCAGCAAAGGCGAATAACCGACCCATGCACGCCAGAAAACTCGTTACCCATCTTCTTCCTGACAAGCACAATCTGTCATTCACTAGAATCGACCGAACGCAACGCTCCATCGCACAGGAAGCAGTACATTGTAAGGCTCCAGCTTCCACACGGACCTCCATGTTCCTGAAACCGACATGCTTCGATGATTTTTCTTTTTTTCTCAACCGGGCAATACACGGCTCATACCTTCTTCCGCCTTATCTTGTCATGCCGGGATAGTTAAGAGCTGCTTTACCTTTTTTACTGACGTAGGTCATATTAAACAAGAATTGGACCCCACTGCACATCATTCGACAGACATTACTTCACGGCGCAAATGATCCAACTTGGGAAATGAATTGTGGATTTGACACCGTCCGAGGATATCTATTACCTACTGATATGGTGACGTCCCAAGCAGCACGCTGCGTACCGGACTTCTGGGGTGAAACATTGCCTCACGATTTCTAGCTTATTCCCCCGAACATAACTCCCTATTGGCATAACAGTATTTCGACAGAATGGAGACTGTATACATGATGACAGGGCGTTATGTTCGGGTGAGTCAAGTAGCTGTGGCCGAAAACGACGCTGAAACCGAGACGCCTTGGACATGCAACGTCGAGCAGAGCCTGTTCATACTAGGAGCACGCCAAATCAATCACCCCACCCGTTGGACGGCACACGTCCTTGCCAGGTTGTCACACGCCTCCCAAAGAACCATAACCCCGTTCTCTCGCCAGACCTTCAAGCATTTTGATCCTTTCCAACGCACACGACCCGACCCCCCTCGCTCGAGATCCCACCTTCGCCACCCCTATCATATTCAGAATATCATTGACCTTTGCCACCTCTACCAAGTGATAAACTTTCATTGTCCTTCTCCTTCTTTTTCTCTCTCTCTCTCTCTCTCTCTCTGTTTGTGTGTTCGTGTGTGTGTGTGTGTGCGTTTGGTGCGTAGTGGGCTTAGAGATCCTCCGCGAGTTTTTTTTTGGGCAGAAGAAAAAGGTTCTGACCTCCACATTTTGCTATTTCGGGGACAGGTACGGCTCATGTCAACTCCATCACAAATCTGCGCCTCCGGAATACTGGGCTGCATTTACAACAGCGCTACGGTCAGCCTCCAGAACCCAACCCTTCTGTTAAGCAGATCGTCCAGAATCCGACTTTGCACCGAGGCAAGGGCACCCCGTCATCTGCTTTCAACTTCGCGGCAGTTCTCATGAATGAATGAATGAATGCAATTTTTCACATGAACGTTTCCGCAGTTGATTTTTACACATGACACGCACAGATCGTCCAGAACTTCTGATGAATGCCCCACGTGATAGAACAATCGAATTGCATGTTGACGATTACGAGAATCCATAAGGGAGGGCACCCTTTTAGAGTCCTTACCGCGATCGTCCGCCGCACGTCCTGGACACGATCAGTGGAGAGATGGGGTTGTTTCACGGTCCGCCGTTGAGACCCACTTCTCGAAAAACTTGGGTTACTATCAACCTTGACTTGTCCTTCTTCTCACCGTCCGCCACCCCTACAACCAGGCTCGGGGGGGGTTTCTCTTGGCCACCCCTACAAACACACCCACGCATACTCGCCCCCGACTCTTCTAACCTCCGCAGCCGCATCCGCCCATCTCAAACAACTTGATGTCATTACCCTTGCCGTGATGACACGTGTACACGTGTATCCATCCCCGTGCGGTGATGACCCTTCTCGGTACTGGCACGTGTATCCCCGTCCACATGTGACAATCAGTTTCGATCCGTTGTCTCTCTCTCTGTACTGGCACGTGTATCAACAACAATTGCTGACATCATTTCGCAAGGCACAAGTAAGGTACCTTGCATCTAGTCTCCATCCCATTTTCCATCCCATTTTCCACTCCAACTTCCATTCTAATTTTCTCTCTCGATCTTCACCCTTGCAAAACACGAAAGAAGTTAAACAAAGGAAAAAGAATAAGAACGAGCCCATGAGATTCATCCCCCATGCGATTAAAAGCATGTTGGTTAGATTACTTTCAGATTCTGGAATTTCACTCGGCGATTGAGGACGAGTTGAATAACCGGGGACGTGGCAGAGACGACCATTTATTCGGAATAATACTCGAATATATTGGATTTCAGCCAGGGCAAACTGCACCTCTACCTCTTCCTTACAACCCGTGAAGCTTCTTCGTTTGCACAAATGAAGGGAGAGGGAGAAAGGCAGGGAACACATTTCTACATTATAAGCGCAAGGATGCGATGGTGAGGATGGATTAACAGGGACGTCGGGTGTGCCATTCAAGCGTGGGGGACTGACTGACTGACTGGACAAATCAAAGATGGGAAGCAACACAAACCTGTGTCACCGTCGCCGGCAGTGATCATGGGTTCTGGCCCGTTGGATATGAACAAGCTCTCCTGCGTACACTTTTCCAACTCCGCGATTTCGGCAGCATCGCCCTGCACTAGAACACGGCCGCGACTCACTTCGCAAGTTTCAGCTCCCTCTCCTCCGTCGGCGTAGCCTCGCTCTTCTGCTTCCGCGGAGCTCTGTTGTTCTTGAGAGCCTCTCAATTCACTACCGTCAAGGACGGCTCGGATGAATGTCTCGTGCTGCACACACTGCTGCCCTGTAGACGAAGGAACCACTAATGTCGGAGCAGCAGCAGCAGCAGTAGATACGCCAAACACATTCGTCGCAGGGCAAGTCGGCAAGAGCGCCTCCTCCGTTGTTTCGCCCTTCACAACCGACTGACTCTTGAACTTCTCATCTACAACACGGGCCTGCTGCTGCTGACAAGGAAGGCCCTGTCGACACCCATATCATGCACAAGAAACAACAATGACACTTAGCTCAGCTCACACCACATATCAACCGCAGAACGCTTCCCAAACACACTGGTCTCTCTCTCTCTCTCTCTCTCTCTCTCTCTCTCTCTCTCTCTCTCTCTCTCTCTCTCTCTCTCTCTCTCTCTCTCTCTCTCTCTGTGTGTGTGTGTGTGTGTGGGGGGGGGGGGGGGGGGGGACCCTTTCCTCGTACACTGGATATCTGTCCACACCGAACTCTACCTACCCTGGATATCTGTCTCCTGCTCTCGGACTGTCAGATTCCTTTCCCCGTGACAAGCTGATTTGAAAGTTTCCCTCGCCATCCTTCGCCCCTCGCGCGTACTCCGCCCGGCCCCCCTTCGTTTCACACCGCAGGCGCTGTAAGCGTCCAAACGCCCCTCGGGCACACTCCGCCCGCGCCCCTTCGTTTCACACCGCAGGCGCTGTAAGCGTCCAAAATTCAGCCAGCGTATTTCTTAGCAAGCAACTCGCCAGGATTCAAGAAAGCAAAAAGAAAACAAAGTTCCGCGCGAAGACGACAAAGAACCAAGGAGAAAAAGTTCCCACTCGAATCTGCGGCTACCCTGTCCTGCGCTGTGCTCTCGAACACGCCAAGAGGAGACCCTGAGCCAAACAGGTCCATTCAGAACAAAATGGTCCCACTCATTTTCAGCTACTACTGTCCCAATTTTCTGCCCCACGGAACGACACCTACGGAACACCACGGTTCCCAACCCAATTTCTGGCCGACCGACCGACCGACCGACTGACCGTCCACGGCCCCGTCGATTGGTTTTCAGCCTCTGCTCCCCTCGTCGCGTTCCCCTGCCCTCAGTACACGGGCCCAGCCTTGCTGAAAAGAAACCTCGTCGTCGCCTACCAAATTTTCGGAGGCCCAGCGCCGTAGATTAGTCCAATCGGCAGCGCGCGGCCTGCGAAAAAAAAAAAAAAAAAAAAAGGGCCCGGGGCCGATAGCTGGATGCGCTGGTGGGGTCTAGAGGCGAGATCCTACCCGCAAAGAGGGTTGGATTTTACTCCCAAATGTGGACGTGTATGTTGAAAGACGCGGCAGAAATTCGCGATTGATTTCCTTTTCTGCATGTTTTACCGAAACGCAGAGATTCGGGGACCTCTTTCCCAGCGGAACCTGACCCTAAAAAGGTCCGTCCGAGATGCGCGACGATACCAAGTAGCCAAGCAAGGAATGCCATACCTGAAAAGGCAAAGAAAAAAAGAATGTCATACCTAATTCAAGTATGGACATGGCAGAAATTCCCCTTCTCTGGTGTTGTCGTTTGCTTTCGTGAGCTGTGTAGATGGCATCCAAGAGAGAACAATAGAATAGGACATGGCCTATGTAAACGAGGAGACCAGTAGCGACTCTGAACGACCAAACGTCCCCAGCGGCCGATCTCCTGGCTCTCAGCCTCTGTGAGTTGGCCGCTTCCCCTCCTCTGAGAACAGGAAAAAAAAGAAAAAAAAAAGAAGAAGTGCATAAGTTTCCATCTCTCTGCGGAACTGTGCCGCGCAAGACGCCCCCTTGGCCTTCGGCGCGTCCCTTCTCTCTCCTACAGCCCAACAACAGGCCGAGCGCGACTGATACCCCGCAATCATGCCCCGAAGGAACAGACCGAGTTTCTTCCAGTCGACCCGATGGCAAAGGTAGAAAAGTCAGAGAAACTCTGATGTATCGCCCAGTTGCACTACTCGCCATCGGCCAAGATTTTGAACGCATCTGGACAACATGATGCCCAGATGCATGCAAAATGTTGGCGGATGGAGACCCGATGGCAAAGGTAGAAAAGTCAGAGAAACTCTGATGTATCGCCTAATTGCACTACTCGCCATCGGCGAAGATTTTGAACGCATCTGGACAACATGATGCCCAGATGCATGCAAAATGTTGGCGGATGGAGACCCGATGGCAAAGGTAGAAAAGTCAGAGAAACTCTGATGTATCGCCTAATTGCACTACTCGCCATCGGCGAAGATTTTGAACGCATCTGGACAACATGATGCCCATATGCATGCAAAATGTTGGCGGATGGAGGGAGACTAGTGCAACTAGTAGGCCCATTACCTCCCTTCAGTCCGTTAGACACGATCATGTCCAATTTTCCCAGGGCAACGTATGTAAGAGAAACCGAGGCAAACAGATACTGAACGAGAGAGAGAGAAGCACATGCACAACAGCGAGATAAACAGTAGCAATCAGACAGAGAGACAGATCAGACATTAGACAGAAAGGTCAGTCGTCAGGGAGAGAGAGCGAACCAATCAGACAGCAACCGGATGGCCACATGTAAGACGTCGGGACGTCCGACAATCTGACCGTGAAGTACACCAGTTCTCACAGCTTGATAGGTGATGATAGTCCTCAGAAGAACTAGATATGCAACATATGAGAGCTTTCAGGGGTGTATCTGGCAGCAAGATTCACTTTCAGCTGACAAAATTCTTATGCCAGAGTACACCCTGAGTCGACTTCCACCGTTTGTTGTCAAGGTCCCGGCATGAGAATAGAACTAGCTCCGACGCACTAAAATGAAAACAAACGCTTTGATCCTTTCTGGTTATTCTCATCCACACCGTTTATTCCAATGCTGTCCATTTCTTCCCCATCGTAATGCGATATACGCAATCAATCGCAATCATCAAATCCATACCTTCGTCATGTTCTATACCCAGATCATCAAATAGTGCGACCATATTCGAGTGCTCTACAATAGTGCTTCGGGTCATCCAGACCTGAAGAATGGAATTTATTTCAATCATGCAATCACCCGCAGACAAACCAAGAACAGAATCTGATACCCCATTCAGTCAATCGAATCGTACAGATCCGTAACCGTTCGACTAACCTCAGAAAACAAAGAAAAAAAAAAAGAAAAAAAAAAAAAAATCGACTAACCTCAGCACACCTCCAGAAACGGACGCGCACAGGTTCATAGACGAGCAGGAGCTCTGGAGACTAGCAGAATTACGGAGGGTCGGTCACCCGTCAATGGAAACAGTTATAGCTTTCATCACTCACGCTTTCATCACTACTCGTTCGTAGAAGATACACTTCAAGAGATAAACCTCAAGATCCGCATTGATCTCTCAGCTCCGTAGAAGAGTAAAGGGCTCACCCATCCATATGCAGAATGGCAGACCCAACACTGATCCCTCAGCTTCGTGGAAGAGTAAAGGGCTCACCCCCCATCCATTTGCAAAATGGCAGACCCAATACAGGGCTAAAGAAACTCTGGCTGTATACGCGAGAGGCAAGCAAAATTGTGAGGTCCCCTGCCTCGCCTATTAATTTGTAATGAAATGATCGTGTTGATTAACAACAAAAAAAAAATTAAAAAAAAAAAAAATTGTGAAACCGATACCGTATGCACCACTACACATGTCGTAAGGATAGCTCGACCATGCATGCCTACGTCGAACGCACGTTCATTGCCATGCCAAGTAGGAACGACCAGCACAATTGTGACATTAGGATAACCGTCAACTGCAAAATGTACCAGCAAAAAAAGTACAAAGGAACAGGAACTCCGCAGCAGTAGCACCGTCTTGCACAACCAATGCAGTAAGAGCGCGTCTGAGACATCCAGTGGACCAGAGAAGCGATGACACCAATCAGCAAGATCCAGTGGACATATCCAATGCACCAAGAAAGGTAGAGGGGGAAAGCTCGGACATGTTCTTTCGCTCCGCTACTCTCGAAAGGTGCAAAACGAGAGTGAATCTTCGGCTAGAACATGGAAAGATACACCACCATGATTTTTGTCTTTTGTGCATTTCAAGAGTAGTGGAGCGAGGGCCATGGAAGCAACAGAAAGTCGTGGACATCCTGTGAGACCATATTGCCATCGTTCACATAGACTGCTCATCGTTCACATGACGCATCAGCGCCCATCCGAAGGAATGTCTTCCATTTGCACACCCATGCTATTGCAGAAATAATAGCCAAATAAAATAAAGTAATTAACATAAATGCTTTAACAGAAAGAAGCGGGCCGTAATAAGGAATACCTAAAAGGGATGCCTTGCCTGCCAATCCACATCTTCATCCCACTCGAAATAGCCACGGAAGTTCAAATCATACAATGCGGGGAAAGGGGGGAATGCAACGCGTGAAACTCAGGAAGGGAGGGACGGAGCGGGGAGAGGGGAGGAATGTGCAATGCGTGAAGGAAAATGATATGGGCTGGACAAGAAGCTGGACAAAATCCACAAAACGAACTTGGCAGAGGGAGGGGAAAGCAGACTAACTAGATCCTGATCCTGCTGTGTAACGAGGGGATGACTTCATGGCAAAGATGAACAGATAAAGGGCATGGTAGAGAGGAAGCAAAGGAAGGCATACACAAGGAACATCAAACAGAGGGAGGAAAAGAGGACGGGGATCTTAATCAGAAAAGAGGAGACGGTTTAAAAAAAAAAGGAAAAAAAAAAAAAAGAAAAGAGGACAGGGACCTTAATCAGAAAAGGGAGCTGACTGGTAGTAGACGACCCAAGGGGAAGAACAATTCGAAAATGCCAGTGAAATGGCAGACATGAATCGAAAACATAGCAGGCAGAGGCATGGAGGAGAGAGAGAAAGGCTGAAAGAAAAGAAATGTTGACAGGAGAATAGCGAGAAGAGCAATCAACACAACGAGAAGAAAGGAAGAAAGGAATGAATAAGAAAAAAAATCACCGACAGGACGGAAGGGGGAGAAGAGGAGGATCAGGTGAGGGAGACCAGTGGGAGAACAGCTAGTGAACAATGGGACGAGAAGGGAATAAGAGGGGAAGGAAATGAAGACAGGAACGCAGGAAAGCGGCGGGGAAGGGGGGACGGGTGAACGAGGAACGCACAGAAGACAAGAAAAAGCTGAAAAGCCTGCCGGGCGCAGAGCGAAGTAGCCAGCGAGGGAAGCAGAGGAGGAAGGCAAGGAGAAGAAAATGAGCCTGCATGATCAGACGCAAGGGCGCAGAGGGAAGCAGAGGGAAGCACAGGGAACTTGCGAGAGGTAGGGAGGCGAGAAGGAAGCAAATTGGGACGCAGAGAAACGCAACAGGGAGGCCACAGGGAGGCAACAGGGAGGCAACAGGAAGGCAACAGGGAGGCAACAGGGAGGCAACAGGCAGGCAGCAGGGAAAGAGAAAACGGGGAAGGTGGAGAAGGGTTCAGGAATGACAAAAGAAGGAAAGAAAACTACGACAGAGGCCTGCAGAGGCGAAAACAGGGAAGCAGGAAGCGAAGAGGATAGCAAGCATCGAACGACAAAAGAGAGCGAGAGAAGGATCAAAGAGGGAGGCAGTGAATAAGACAAGGAAGGAGGTGAAAAGAGAGCGAGAGAAGGATAAAAGAGGGATGGAGCGCGGGAGACAGCAACCCAATGGAGGAAAGTAGTAGTCAAACTAGGCACAGAGAGAAAAAGGGGCGAGTAAGGAACGAGGGGACCCAACGTAGGGAGGGAGTAGAGAAGGACAACAGACCGGAAGTACGGAAATACAACGTGGAAAAAGAACTTGAAGGGGGACACAAATAAAGAAGGAAGAGGATGAAGAAATGCGGCATGAGAGGAGAGGGATAGGGACAAGGGAAGACAAACGAGGGAAAGGAAGGAAAGGACAATGCGACCTATAGGGAGAAGAGGATCGTACGGGAGGAGAGGCACACAGAGTAATAGAAACGTGTGGAGAGATGGGGGAGAAGACGACGGTAGACAGGGAGCGGTGGATAAGGGTGGGGAGAGGAACGCGGGTAGCGGAACCGAGAGAGGAGGATGGGGACAGCGACGGGGAGAGGCGGTCGGGAGGAGGCACGAGGAGAGCAAGGAGGAGAGGGGGAGAGGCAGAGGGAAGAGACGGGGAGGGAGGGGGAGGGACGGCGGGTGGGAAGGGAGCAAGGACAAGGAGAGCAGGACGGAGAGATTGAGAGGCAGGAAGGGGATAGGGAGAGGAACGGGGAGAGAGGGTCGGGGTTATAGAAGCGAGGGGAGAGAGGGGGGGGAGAGGAGCGGGGGGAAAGGGTCGGGAGGAGACAAAGGGAGGATGCGAGAGGATGAGAGAGAGGATGGTAAGGTAAAACAGGAAAGACGAACAGGGAGAAGAAGGATGGGGCGAGGAGAGACGAGGAGAGGGAACGAAAAAAGAAGACGGAAGAGGGGTCAGTGGAGTGGAACACGGGGAAAGGGGTCGACCAGTAGGGACCAGGGGAAGAAAGGTGGGAGAGGATCAGGGCGAGAGGAACCTTTGGGAGGGAGATAAAACCGAGGAGCAAGGGGTCCGGCGACCGAGGGACCCGCCAAAAGGGACGTAAAAGGACAAAAGGAGGGAGGAAGGGGAAAATGGGGGTCAATTTTTGGGAGGTGAGAACAAGAAAGAAGAGGGAAGAAGAACAGGAAGATTCGTGAGGAAAAGGGCGAGGAGGGCAGAGCAACGAAGCATGGAGAGGATACAGAAAAGGAGAAGAAACATGGGAGAGAAGAGGCAAAGAAGAGAAAGATTGGGAAACAAACTCTGCGGCGATGCAGCAGGGTAGAGGGTTTAGGAAGAGAGCAATAGTACAACAGAATGGTGGTCAATGCAGCAATCATAAAACAGGAGAACGAGGGGGAGGGAGTCTTGGTCCCGCGGAGAGGGGGAGTCCTGAAAACCGATGAAAGATAGTGAGACTACAGGAGAAGTGAGAAAGATGGGATATGAGCACTCTGTAAATCGACAGGACAGGGTGGCAGAAGAAACTAAGAATCGAGCAGTAAAAATAAGGACGTGCATCAAGAGCGGGATGGGAAAACCGCAGAGATAAGCAAGCAGCGAGGAAAGAGGAAGAAAACGGCAAAGCAAGACAAACGTAGACGGAACAAGACAGGGAGGGAAGCGAATCACGGGAATGCAGACGAGGACGGGATTCATCAGGAAGGATGACATCTACACGAATCGAAAGAAAAAGACTGAAAAGTAGAAGAGGGGAAGGTTGCAGAAGAAGGCAGCAGAGGACAGAACAAGGATCACGACATGCAAAAAAGGAGAAAGATTAGGGAGGGGGGAGAGGAGGAGAACTGGGAAGGAGAACAAGGATTAATCGGGACAAAGCTGGGAAAGAGAACGACAACGGCGGGCTAGAAAAGCTGAGAGCGAGAGGTCAGGCGAACGGCAAGAGGGAAGAAGACGAACAAGGGCAAAGGCGAAAAGCGCAAATCGCAGGTGCGCGAGTAGAGCGAGACCGACTAGGAAGAGCCAGGACGACGAGGTGGAGAACGAGAACTGACAGCTAAGTAGGAATGGCTGACAGAAGAGCCAGAGGGTCAGAGAGCTAACGGGAGAACCAGGGGAAGAGAGTGGTAGAGAAGAGCTAGGGGAAAGAACCGGGTGGAAGAGCCAGGAAACAAGAGACGGCAGCTCGGCAAAAAGACACAAGAACCATGGGATGGGGAAACGCAAAGTGTAAGAGCCATGAAATGGGCTGGAGCAACGCGCAAGTCCTATCGCATGCTACTGGAGGAGGGTGAATCGCAAGGGCCTGGGGGAAGGGACGAGGGCAGGGGGGAGATGCTAGGGGAAGAAACGCTACGTGGAAGAGGCAGGAGGAAGATTTCCGGGGAACAACCACAAGAAACAGCCGCGGGGAACACCAACAGGAACAGCCGCGGGAAAGAATGAGGGGAACGGCCAAGGGAAAGAATGAGGGGAAAGAATGAGGGGAACGGCCGCGGGAACACCAACAGGAACAGCCGCGGGGAACAACCCCGGGCAAGCTCCCGAGGAAAGACAGGGGGACAGAGTCGCGGAAAGAGCCGCGAGGAAGAAACAAGTGGAAGACAGAGTGAAGAGAAAGAGAGGAGGAAGAGACGGAGAAGACACTGGGAAGAATCTGGAGGAAGATATCGGCAATTAAGGGAATGAAAGGAAGAAGATAGCGCGGGAGATGTGAACCGCACATGCGACCAATGGAAGCAAACGAAAAGCGAATGGGAATGTAGAAAGAATCGGAGAAAATGTGAGAAAAAATGGGAAAAGGGATGGGAGGAGGGATGAGAGTGGATGGAAGAAGGTATTGGAGGATGGGAGGAAGCGAGACGGGCGAGGAGAAGGAACGGATGAGAGGAGATATGGATGAGAGAAGGGGTGGGAGAGCGGCTGGGAGAAGGGATCGGGGAAGGGATAGGGAAGGGAATGGGCGGAGTGCAAAGGGGGGGCAGCTAAATGGAAAAGACAGGAGGGCTGCGACGTAGGAGGTGGTGGGATAATGGGGGTTAAGGTGGGATCAGAGAATCAGGGGAAGAGAGAGAAAACATCATGAATGCCTAGCAAAAGCGGGAAAAGACATCCTGGGAGAATCCAGAAAAGAAAACGAGAGAGGAAAAAAAGACAGACGATACGTCGGAAGGGTGTTGGAAGAGAAGAGGGAAGTGAAGGAAAGTAGAATGCACGAGAAGAGGGGGGCCAAGGAGGGACGAGCGAAAGGAAAGGAGCTGGAAAGAAAAGGACGGGAGATACAGAGAGGACGACGAAAATGGAAGAGGCGGAAAGAGGAGAGGAGAGAAATGAGAAGAAAGGAGGAAACAAGCAGAGGAAAGAAGACGAGAGAGGCAGATGAGAAGAGAGGACGGGATGCCGGGTAGGATGAGCAGAGAAGGGAGGACAGGCGGGCAAGTAGAGGATAGGAAGAGAGAAGCGCGCGGAAAATAAGGCGGAAAGGGAGATCTGCCATGAAGGCTTTTGCGAAGAATTTAAGGGCAATAAACACATGCCCAAAGACTGTACAAGCTGGAAGGGAGATCTGCCATGAAGGCTCGAAAAGCGTGGAGGGGCGGAGGGAGGTGTGAAGCAGAAACCGGGAGACAACATAAGCTGGTTGGCGTCAGAAAAGAGGGGTTCCAGGAGGACGTCACGGGAAGAGTCAAGCGCCCACAACCCTGATCTTGTCGGAAGGGAGAGTCCTCCCACACCTGGACTATTACGTCTTCAACCCCCCAGAAGGAAGAGCAAGGGATGACCGCAAGAAGAAAACATGTGTGAAAAGGCGAGTAGTTTCGGCGGACAATGAACATGGACGCAACGGCAGCAGCGACGTCATTTAAGACGGATAACGATCCAGTTAAGGCATCAAGAACATACAATGGGAGGAATACAGGATGAAGGGGACGATTGGAGGATTGATGACCGAAGTAGGCGAGTAGTTTCGGCGGACAATGAACATGGACGCAACGGCAGCAGCGAGGTCATTTAAGACGGATGACGATCCAGTTAAGGCATCAAGAACATACAATGGGAGGAATACAGGATGAAGGGGACGATTGGAGGATTGATGACCGAAGTAGGGTAGGTTTCATATGAACGAAGGACGCCGGATTGACGTTGCATCCCGCGAACGAAAGAGAGGGGAAAAGGGATGAGAGCCTTACGAAGCAAACAGACTCGAGAGCAGCGCAAGAGGAAAATGCAAGACACGAAGATGAAGAGAGGGATCTCTAGAGGGGCAAGAGAGCAATGCTAAACAACCAGACTGAGGATAGCAGAGGCAAGAGCGACAGACCCAGAATGCTGACCAATGCCATGAATATTAAGGGACAACAAACGCAAAACGTCGGCAACTGCGAAGGGCCAACCGATGTGAAGGGCCGAGTTATGTGCCAGAGGAAAAAACACTGACCTATAGACAGCGTACATAGACCAAATAAGCGTGACAAACTTCGATAGATGACCGAAGTGTGGTTTGATAGGAACAAAAAGAAGGTCAGATTTATGACTCACCTTTAGCTTAGTGGAAGCAGATGAAGCTGGTCCACGTGTCAGCGGCACATTCGTGCTCAGTCCGGCCAAGGCGGCGCGCTTCCGTGTCCCACCCTGACCCGCAACTCCAGTTTTCGCCTCCTCCAATGCATGTCGCTTACACGCCGCTCTGGTTACCCTCATCGGTCCCGTTTGATCAGCAGAGCGTGTGGAACTTGAAGATTGGCCGGCGCAGGCAAGAAGCGCAGCGCTCCTGTTCTTTCCTCCCTTTTGTCCACCTCCTCGGCCCCCAACGCCCGTCATTTCTGCAAATAAGGGAAACGGCTTCAGCAGAGATCCGTGAGAGAAGCTCAGCGTGTGACCCACGGGGGGTGCAAGAGAGACGAATAACAACCCCTCCCCTCTCTCTCTCTCTGTCAGTCCCGACTTTGCTACCGTAGCCGCCACCACCTCCACTCGGCTACAGCAAGGAAACACAACCACATCCTACTCTATCTATGAAACCATGCTGCGTGTGTTTAACACCTGGACAAACGGCGTTTCTTCTCTTCAGGACTATTCAATCTATCCCAGCTGAACTTTTAACTGCCCAGCCGAGCCAATATCCGGCGTTTCCGTCTTGCCTAGCTTGTGTTAGCTCGTTTACTTGCTTTGTCTGCTTGCTTGCTTGCTTAGTTTGGCTTCGCTTACTGCTGCCGTCTCTCCTCCTCTTTCTTTCTCCCCGCTGCCTGCTGTCTAACACCCAGCAGAATATCGCTCTTCCCAAAATCGTGCGCTTAAAGGAGAAGAATTGAATCAGCGCCGCCGCTTTGCCATGACAAACGGCGACTAAGTCAGCCGTCGCGGCAGCTGGCGGCTACAACGGAAGACCAAGAACACACGACGATACCCGGGGGGAGGCGACAGGCAAGCAATGGGAAGAAGAAGAAATGCAGAAGCGGGAGGAAGCAGGGGAGATGAGCCGAGGCGCAAATAGCGACGGCGGCAGCGCAAACAAGAGCGTCGTTACCTAACATTAGGAAGCACACACGGGGGACCAGGGACAAGGGAAGAGAAAAGAGCAGAGAACAGGCGGGAAAAAGAACAGGGAAGGAGATAACGGACTCAGCAGGGGAAGAGCGAGAGTAAGGGGTGGGGGGAGGGTGCGCGGGGGGGGGCGCAGCAGAGACGGGAGTTTCTATTGCAACGTTAGGTTCGCTGCCGAGCTTCAAAAGAATAGTGTAATAAATGAAAAAAAAAGAGAGAGAGAGAGAGAGAGGGAGCAAAAACGAGTGATAAGCGAGCTTAAGGAGATGGTGCTGATGCTGGCCCTCCTGAAACAAGCACGGGGGCAGCTATGCGTCCTCGCAACACGCTGAGTGCCGGGTTTCCATTGCCGAGAGTTGTTGGAAATCGTCATGCAAAACCTCTTTCACTCGCCTCTGTGTGTCTCTCTCTGTCTCTGTGTACGTGGCTAACGAAGCTGAGATGCCCGTCCCTCCCTCCCTCCTGCACACCCTCCCTCCCTCTTTCCTCCTCCACCCTACCCTGTCTCTCTCTATCATGCATATTCGAGTCGTCAGAAGCTCTCCCCTCTCACTTTGCTCTCTCCCTCACTCGCCAACGTAGGCGCAGAAGTGGTTGGTCCATTTGTGCGCCTTCCCCTCTCCCCCTACCGCTCTGCAAGCTCGTTTCAGCTTGGGAGCGGTTTCAGATAGAAAGAGACGGCTGGCTACGGCTACCGCCGAAGGTACTCGGAACCAGGCGAAACGTGGTTTGCCTGCAACCGTGCGATTCACACAATCGACGGCCAGGTTCAAATGCCGATTTGAATTTGATTCCGAAGACCCGCCGCTCTGCTCTGCCCGGTACCCACACGCCGACGACCAGGGGGGGAGGGAAATTTCCTTGGCGGGGGAGCGGGCGGGGGAGCGAGCGGGGGGGCGCCAGTACGCAAGGCCCGTCCGCGAGCGGAAATTATCTAAAATGCCCCTTTGAGCCAAATACATACATACGTAAATGTCCCTTTTGGCAATTTCGTTCATTTTCACGGGTTCCGTTGATAAAACCCCTGGATGCTGGCTCCCATGGCTCCGAACCTCGGCGAACTTGCTCTGGTGGAACCAGATTCGGGTCGTTAGCTCGTGTTTTCATGCCTCCACAACCTTTCCCAGTCAGGACCCCACCTAAAAACACCAGATTTGTAGTGAGGCCAGATTCTATTTCAGAAAGTGGGCCTGGCCTCGCTGTTTAGCGCCAGCTTTCTTCTGGTTTAGACTCCCCAGCTGCAGGCTGAACGCAGGCGACCCCAAGGAAAACCGAGTTTGGGGTTAGCAAGATAGGCTTTCATTCGGGTAGTTTCGACGACTCCAGAATCGCTCTCAGTCAGGACCCAGCTCAAATCACAAGATTGGTATAATGATAATACCCTATTGAATTTCAAGAAGTGCTCTTTGGCTTCCATTTCTTGTAAAAGAACCCACAATAATTTGTAGCGCTCAGGGGTTGCAGTTGGCGTGCTGTTTACTGGCAACTTTCTGGTTCAGACTGCCTGTCAATTAGGTGCCGCTAAGCAGAAACTAGCAGCACCTTTCTGGTTCAGATCCAGGCTAAAAGCAGCCCACGCTAAGGAAACTGAGTTTGGGACTTCCAAGCGTCTGAGTTTGGGACTTCCAAGTGCCGCGCACCAAGTTCTTTGGAAACAGCATGGGGGCGATGGTTTTTCTTTGTCTGGTGCCACCAGTACATTTCCCAGCCATGTTTTTTGAAGTCGCAGCTTGCATGCTACCATAACTTTGGGGGTTCAACCGCCAGGGCATAATGGCTGGCAGTACCAGCCAAAAGGAGGCCTGCGCCAGTTGAAAGGGACGTTTCACCCTCTGGAGACACTGAGGTAGGCGCACTACCCGGACCTGTGCAACGAGGCTCTACCACACTCCCGCTGACTTTCTCAATACTCACAAGGGAGGCGAGGGGACCTGCGGCCAGAGCCGGTGCGCATGACGGATAGATTACCCCCTCATATGCGCTTGCAACGGAGGACAATTGGTGGAAGAGGCAACGACGAAGCGAGGGAGCAGTTGGAAAAGAAGGAGGGAGGAGAGAGGCGGTTGAGGGATAGAAGCCGGCGACAAAACGACTATACAGGGGACGGGGAGGAAGAAGGGGCATGACATGAGAGGAGGAGCGAAGATGGAAGAGGACAGTGGAAGAGGCAAAACTGGGGCAAGAAACTAAGTGGAAGAGGAGGGAGGAGAGAGAAGGTAGAGGGATCGAAGTCGGCAACGAGACGACCAAACCTGGGAGAGCAAGGAAGAGGGTGCACAATATGAGAGGAGGAGAGAAAATGGGACAGGACGGTAAGGAAGAGGGGGCATGATGTGAGAGGAGGAGCGATGACGAAAAAGGATAATTCAACGGCGGCACCGACGAGGAGAGTGGATGCAGCGATCGAGAGAAGACAGGGAGGTGGACGACCACGGCAAATTCTCACCCGAATCAGGTGGGTGGCGAAATAACCCTAACCAACAAAACTCACCCAGCGCTACCTATAATGAAAACCACCAACATTTGCCTGTCTTTTTTTTTCCTTTTTTTTTTTAACATATACTCCGATTTATTCGTAGGGCGCAACACGTGTTGGGAATCGGGCCTAACGTCCCTTATGGAGTTACAATGAAACCATTTCATAAAATATTTGAGGAAATTAAATGTTGTCAGCATTAACACTAAGAAACCAAAGACTATTAAAACAAAATCTAGGAAAATTGAGATAATGCTTCATGGATCACCGTCCCTTACCACTACCTTACCTTCCTTCCTTGTTGGCCTCTTTTTGTTGTTCGTCGTTCCTTCGTTGCAGCCTGACTTCCATAGCCAGTGGGTGCGAGGGAAATGGGTCTTGGAACTCTCTGCATACCTCAGCGGCAAGTGGGGGTCAACCTTCGTCCAATCTTTGAAAACAAGGTTGTAATCGCCGACCTTTTACCCTTGTTTGTCATCTTCCCCCGGTTGTTGCCCCTCCGTCCTCTACCCTGACCCCCCCCCCTGATCCACCCTTAACCAATCCTTGAAAAAATGGGTAACGTGCATTGTTATATCCTTTGGTGTGTGTAGGTGGTCTATGGTCTGCCTCGTTTTCTGCGACCTAACATCTGCTTGCCTCACCAATTTGTCTTACACTCTTTCCGAACCCTAACCCTTTATCCTCATCCCCTACCTTGGACCCTCTCACTCACCCTCACAATTATCATTGTAACATACCCTAACACAACACTTCATACAAGGACACACCTCACTGACACAAACACACATCTGGCAATCTAATGTTCAACCTTCTAAGTCATATTACCAATTCTTACATCTTTTGACCTGCCCTAACCTACTTTGACCAACAACAACCTACATCGCATGCGAGAAAGATAGAAACAACACCACAGGTAATTGAGTTCTTCCCTGTTGGATATAGTTTGTAAGAAGGGTGTAACAAACCATGCGGGGCCCCAGACGTTGAAACAAGGGGAGGAGATATGGGTCATCTCAAAGGAACTGTACACATCGTCACCAACACACTCACGATCCGGGACGAGGGATCCACGTGGGGGAGAAGGGCAAACAAGAGGTATCATAATGAGGCCAAGTGGAGGACTCGATGAGAATCGTAGAACAGGGACCGGCAGGGGCCGCGATCACATAATCCTCGATGAGTAATTAGGATCTGCGGCAGCCCCCCGCCCCTTCTTCCCCTCGAGCCGCTAACACCGGGGGTAGACTTGGGACCACAGCACGGACCACCCGAGGCAACAACAATTCCCATAATAGGCCATCGTCAACACCAGGGGGTACATTACAGACCATGCTCACATCGGACATAAGAAAATAATACGAGGCCCGAATCCTTATACAAGCCCCGACAGTAGCAAGGAACAAATTTATAAAGAATCCAGGGCATTAACCGCAATGAGCCTCATAAAGGTCCACTGTATACAGAAGTTGCGTATTCACCCGATGAGGATAGGTATATCTACCCCTATGCCATTTTCCCTCTGCATGCTATAGCAAACTGTAATTTAATATATTCACGAAATGTTGTCGAATTCATGTTGCCACAAACAGTACCTCTTATCTCAATGAATGAGAAATTGCATTGGGTACAATGCCGGTTGAGGGTGATCAAGACTAATAACCAAGACTCGTTTGTGTTGTCGGAGCAGAAACCCTTAAAAAGGTATCTGCTCAGGTTTTTCAATGTCGGACGTTGTCTGACTTTTTCGTTGAATTGAGAGACTTGATGAGAATGACGTCTGCAAGAAGTTTATTCGGACCAACCTATAACCAAGAGACTACAACTTTTCTTAACCTTAGTCCGAAACTACAACTTTTTTGAACTTTAGTCCGGACGCTTGTGACGTCCGAGAATAATGGCGGTAATCGGCAGTGTGACCAGTCAGATGCGGTTTCTAGCAGGGTCATGGAGGCACACGTTCGTGGGAATGTTCAAACTAAAGACCTATCATACTTAAAATAATGACGCGCGACTATACAGCCACGCGATTCAGGGTCTACGTACATTGAAAATAAAAGCTGCGTAAGAT